TAATCTATTTATCGCTACATTTTAGGATCATACCGGAATCACCGCGATGGCTTATTGCAAAAGGAAAAATGACGGAGGCTGAAATGTTGCTCGAGAGAATCGACAATTATAATCGATTTTGCGGATCGAGTAAGAAAACCGAGGATTCCGGGAAGATACAACAGAGCGAAATTGATAAAATACCGGAAAAGCCAAAAAGGAAAACACGCTCATCCAATGATAATGGAAATTCATTGGCTGACGTTGAGAAATCGCTCGAAGAATCCAAGAATCTATTGTCCTCGTCGGAATTGGAATCACCCAGAGCTCACAGTAACGATATTTTATTTATATTTAATGTCTTGGTGTTTCGGTACGAAGAAGCTGAACTAAATTCTTCTACGTTATCATCTTGTTATTCTTGATAAAGTAACTTGAGGAGTTAATAAGCAAAAAGCAGGTTTTAAAACATACAATTTAAAATTTAATTAACTCGTTAAATAAATTATGCTTTACTGCACGAGTAATCATATACTTTTTAAAATGAATGATACGGTTTTGTACGCTTTAAGCTGCTCCTTATGTTCTTAATTTTAATAATAATAATTATATATTTTTTTCATTATAATAAACAAGACAATTGTTTATATTATCATTATTTATAATATTCAATCCAAGTGTAGCGATCGTCTCCTCTTCCATCCAATTACACATTTTATCAATTTATTTTAATAAATCGAGCTCATTGATCAGCTTATAATAATCAATGGTCTTATCGTTTATTACTATATATTCCTTTCACAATGGAAGCGAACAAATGTCAATTCATACGTATCAATATATTTGTTTGACAAAGAAAAAAAATAAAAAAAAAAAAATAAAAAAAAAAAATTAAAATAATAAAAAAAATCGAACACATAATATGAAAAATAAAAAGAATACGTCATCCATTGTAGCTACTCTCACTCGTCTACGTACAATAATAAATTATCGTTTTAGCCAGTACCGAAGCCAAATGCGATGATGGAATGATAGATTTAGATCCGATAAAGGACAATGATCTACCCGCTGAATTGGACATTGAGAAAATCTCCAAAACATCGTTATTGGTTGTCCCGGACGAGGGCAGTGC